TACACAGAGACACACACATACACAATACACACACAACACACAATACATATACAGAGACACACAGAGACACACACATACCTACACACAACACAGACACACACATACACACACAGGGATTTAATCCCAGGCAATTCAAGTTCACATACCCAAAATGGGTTTTGCATTCTACTGTATTCCATCACAGCACATTTGTACTTTTTCTGGAAGGAGAAAGAACGTTTCAGGCTTATGCATTAAGATTTTTCTATCTGTTCAGAGCTCAGTATGTACCAGTGTCTCTAGTAAGAGATAGAGCCCCACACATGTAAACAAGTAAAAAAATTAACAGCTAAATATCTCACAGCAATAAATGCTATTCTGAGAATTAAAATAGGGTGATGTGATTGCGAGTGTCAGGGCAGCTATTTTAGATTCTGAGGTCTGGGAGAGCCTCTCTGAGGAGGTGACATTTCAGCTGAGATCTGAATGTCACAGAGTCACCAGCCATGTGAAAATTCTAGGCCAGAGCCTTCCAGGCAGTGGGAAGGGCTGGCTGAGCCTCCATGGTGTGTCCCCAGACCCACTCCCTCCTCCCCCTTCTCCTCGTTGTCAGCAGATACCCCTATGTCCTGCCTCACAGAGACAAGAGGGCTGAGCCCCAGCCAGTGCATCAGCCCACCCCCTGCAGCCCACCTGTGGGCAGGTGCTCATGGCCCCCTCCTGGGACGGTGGATGAGCTGCATGTGCTGGGGCACCTGGGAGAAGGACAGCCCACCACCCTCCCCTGCCCCACATCACCCACGTTTGGGAGTTTCAAAGTGAAAGTCTCCAAGAGTTGGCTGGATGCACGGCGGCACGTCCCCGACACTTGAACCCGCTCTAACAGGACTTTGATAACCAACTACTCCACCCAATGAGGGGAACAACAAGATCTGTTTCGCAGGGTGACTCCAGTGGCTGCAGGGGGAGGGCAGGGGGATCCCGCAGCCAGGAGGCTTTTCTGATGGAGGAGGGGGCAGGGAATGGAGCTGAAGAGCGTTCGGTCTTGGCCAAATGTCTTGGAGGTCGAGTCAGCAGAACTGACTGGTAACTTTCACGTGGAAGGAGGAGGGGTGGAGGAGAATCAGAGGTAGTTCCTGTGCTGTTGCTGTCTTTGCTGATGAGATCAGGACAGCCAGGAGTGGAGCAGGTGGGGGAATCCAGTTCTGAGGTGAAGGTGTCACGGGGGCAGCTAGTGTAGGATTCTGGAGTGTGGAGAGGTCTACCTGAGGTTCACTGCCAAAGTCAGGGGTCTGATGAGGTGACCTGGAGAGAACACAGAGGTGCCCACCTGTCGGAGCTGCCACACCTGGGACCAATCTGTCTCTCCAACCTTATCCTCATCACATGCAGGGATGGAGAACCACATGGAGAACCCGGAATCCACAGGTTCTTTGCCTTGGGATGTGCCGTCCGCACCCCATGGGAGCCCTTGCCCAGTGTCCAAGGCCCCGGCTCCCAGGCCAGCCTTTACCTTCAGCTTCTCCATCTCCCAAAGCTGAGTTGCTGTGTGTGCTATGGCACTCACAGAGCCTTCCACGTGGGGCATCTGTTGCTTAATACCTCCCGCACAACAGGTGGGTGACACACTAAACATCCCTCCTTGAGGAAGGAAGTTTGTCCAAAACCTTCAGTTTCCATACTTGAACAAGGAGACAGAGAGAGAGAACACAGGTAGAGGCGACTGGTCCCAGCCAGAAACATACTCCTAACTTTCATAATAAATGACTTACTGCTCAGTTATGGAATTGCTGTGGATGTAGATTAAATCAAATAGAAATCTCTGGTCAAGAACCTTCGTGAGCTTAGACAAATGCATTTCCCTGACCTCTCTCGGGTGGGACTGGGGCCCCTGTGATTTTTATAAACATACCAGCGTACTTGAGGTTTTCCAGCATTTTTGTACCGGAATCCCCGGGGCTTTCAGTTAGAAAACACTTTTTAAACCTGCCAAGCTGAGAGGGAGCCGAAAGTGAGCCCCTACCGTCCAGGCCGGTGCCAGGACGGCCATTAGCCACATCAGGCTGGCTTGGTAACAGGCTGGCTTTGTCCCCAAAACAATCCATATGTGCAGTGTAAACCCCGACGCCCTGGAAGCGCCTCAGCTCACCCTACCGTATTTACCAACGAACAGCCTTAGTTGCTGGAGTTGTAATCTGTCCCTGTGTCGGAACCCAACTTGGTTCTGGCCTTGGAGCTAAGAAGGAGTAGCTGTAAATAAAGATTTATCCCCCTGCTTCCTGAGCTCTCGTAGTAATGAAAGACAAAGAGGCCCTTTATAAAGTTTAAAAAGCCAAATAAAATATTACATATCAGTGTTGCCCAGGTCAAAGTCTACAACTTATCTGAAGAATTGTAAGTGCTTTAATGCATCTTCTTTAAAAGCCCCTGACTTCGAAACACACCAAATGTACTAAGGTAGCATCTCATTTCACATGAGGATGCTCCAAGTGCTACAGAGTCAACTGTGTGAGAGGCCACGGTTCCCCGAGCCTGGACAGGGCCTCCTAGTCTCACGCCGCCACTGCGTCCCACCCTGCAGCCCTGCCCCAGCAGTCACAGCGTTAGCTGTTATTCCCACTGGATTCT